TTATGGTGGCAGAGAATCAGTATTTGGGTGGAGTAGCTGTGTATTCTTGTGGAGCCCACCAACAATGGTATTACTTGGTTTTTACAACAGGACTTGTCATTCTAACCTCATGCTAATTTAGACTCATCCTCCCACGGATGATAGTAGCATCATGCTAGCTGGTGTGATCTTCTGACATGTTGCTACATCCTGAGAGATGTGTGGCAGAACATGGAGTGATGGTGGGTGATAGTATTGTTTGAATATGCTGCTGACATGTAGAACAAGCCCATTCTCATGCCCCCCGTGTCAACACATTGATGCTTGACCAAGCGTCATCTGTACGAGAACACGGACCCTAATGTTAACCAATAACTCTGATCCCTCATGTTAACCATTTTCCCAGACCCTAAATTTAACCTACACTCACCGGCCACTTTATTAGGTACACCTGTCCAACTGCTCGTTAACACTTAATTTCTAATCAGCCAATCACATGGCGGCAACTCAGTGCATTTAGGCATGTAGACATGGTCAAGACAATCTCCTGCAGTTCAAACCGAGCATCAGTATGGGGAAGAAAGGTGATTTGAGTGCCTTTGAACGTGGCATGGTTGTTGGTGCCAGAAGGGCTGGTCTGAGTATTTCAGAAACTGCTGATCTACTGGGATTTTCACGCACAACCATCTCTAGGGTTTACAGAGAATGGTCCGAAAAAGAAAAAACATCCAGTGAGCGGCAGTCCTGTGGGCGGAAATGCCTTGTTGATGCCAGAGGTCAGAGGAGAATGGGCAGACTGGTTCGAGCTGATAGAAAGGCAACAGTGACTCAAATAACCACCCGTTACAACCAAGGTAGGCAGAAGAGCATCTCTGAACACACAACAAGTCGAACTTTGAGGCAGATGGGCTTCAGCAGCAGAAGACCACACCGGGTGCCACTCCTTCAGCTAAGAACAGGAAACTGAGGCTACAATTTGCACAAGCTCATCGAAATTGGACAAGAGAAGATTGGAAAAACGTTGCCTGGTCTGATGAGTCTCGATTTCTGCTGCGACATTCGGATGGTAGGGTCAGAATTTGGCGTCAACAACATGAAAGCATGGATCCATCCTGCCTTGTATCAACGGTTCAGGCTGGTGGTGGTGGTGTCATGGTGTGGGGAATCTTTTCTTGGCACTCTTTGGGCCCCTTGGTACCAACTGAGCATCGTTGCAACGCCACAGCCTACCTGAGTATTGTTGCTGACCATGTCCATCTCTTTATGACCACAAAACCGTTACTAGCGTGGTGTACCTAATAAAGTGGCCGGTGAGTGTATATTAGCTATGTACAGCCTATCCATGACCCCAGTCTCTCAAATTAACCATTATCCGTGACCACAGACCCTAAAGTTAACCGTTAATCCAGTGACGCAACCCGGAAAAACTGCGGGCGGCAAGGACGAACGCTCGGGGTATCCCTCGCGCATCAATATGTTACGAGTCCGACATGAGAATGTGTTAGTAAAACATGATGAGGGAGTAGGAACATTTCCTAGGCTCTGTTCAGACTTGGCACCAACGTCGATGATTCAACTGCAAGAGGTCAGCTAATGTCCAGAGCACTCACACCTGAAAACATTGATAGAAATAAAAAGATGTTAAGTGTCAGGTCTGAACAGGCTCTAAAGGTCATGGAACATGGCAAGGAAAACCTGTTTGGTTAGCACTAAGAGCAGAGCAGTGCCACAATTGCCTTCATACTAATAAAGACTTCCACCCATGCCTTGTCCTCAGATGTCATTAAGCTCACAGAGCAGGACCCCAGAGGCATGAGCTATATGATGGAGACAACAAGGGATTTGAAATATGTAGACCCAGACTTCAGTCTGATTTCGGCAGCAGGGTGACCAGCTTCAAAAAGATAATCTATAAATGTATGAGGGACAGAGACACAAGATTTCCAGGAGACACGAGGGCAGGCATCCCAAGACCAAGCCAGAAAACCTGTTGATACTTGTCCCTTCTCTAGCTCAGTGGTTCCCAAAGTTGTGGTAAGAACTCCAGTGTGGGTCATGAAACACCAGGTGAATCTTCAGAAGATCTACAGAATTCAAAAACACTTTAAAAATGATTTCCAAAAGGGTATTTAGATTTAACTGTTACACAGAAACAAAAACATGGATAAACCATATAGGTGTTAATAAAAAAAAATTACAACTTGGATTCTGCATTTAAAGATGTTTTTCATACCATCTGGGTAGTTTTTGTAATACATCGCGACTGGGTATCAGGCTCAGTGCTGCACTGTGAGTTGCTGAGAGCTGAAATCTGAGGCTTTCCTCTGTTTATAGTTATTTCTTGTTTAATGTAATTGACTCCCTTCACGCCTCTCTCAGCTCATCTTTCCTCACCGTCTAAAGTATGAACATGTTGGTCCTCTATCCTTGAGGTGTAGGACAGCTGAGTCCTTTCCTGATGTCTCCTGTGTTGAGCCATGTGTCTGTGGAGAGGTCTGAAGATTCCTCCCTGCACTGAACTGCAGACAGCTGAGTGGTATGTTCCATCAGCTGAGTGGTATGTTCCATCAGCTGTAGAAACATCGACTTCCAGTTTTCTTTTGCTGTTTTTTATTTGTAGGTCCTTTTTTGAAACAATGAAACAGCAGGTTTGACGTGTCCCCTTTGTACAGCCTAATGTTGAGCACAAGTATACTCACTGTCCACCTTTTTCTGTTTAATTGCTTTTTAACACAAATGGCTAATCAGCCAATCCCATGGCAGCAACTCAGAGCCTTTAGTCATGTAGATGTGGTAAAGACAATTTGATGAAGTTTAATGGGGCAATATTATGTAAAATCAACTTTTTTGGGTTTTATATCATGTTATAATGTTATACTCTCATAAAAACATGCCCAAAGCCTTGCTTTGACTCATTCATGCATGTTTGAGAAATCCTGCAGCGTTTTTAGGAAGCCATGCTGAGGAGCAAAACGACAGGTGGGGACTGGAAACGCCCCTGGGTTGTGTACTTTAGGAAAAAGCTCCTCCTCTGGGATGTGTCTCCAAGCCGCGTTTCCTCATCACGGAGCACACCTCCCCACCCCGCACCCACCACTCCCCGCCCATGACTCCTGCAGGCTCTCGGCAGTAACAAAGCAAACAACGAGTGAGACTGAAAGTGAAACTGAAACTGTCTGCTGGGCTCCTGACACTACTTCTCACTCAGTGAAGCTCTTTTCAGATTCAAAATACCTTTTGAGGAAATGTATTTTCAGATGCCAAGTAAGCTGCGTCATAGCGCATGCGCGAATCCCCCCGTGTACTGAAATGGACGGGACAGAAGCGGAAGGTGGTTCTTAAAGAGACAGAGGCCAATTTCAAGGCATTTAGAAGAGGAAGTGATGAGAAGATAAGTTTATTTTCTATTTAAACATAAAAACAGCATTTTAAAAATAAGTAAAGTTGACATAGTTATTTTATTATGGTATAGTTATTTAAATAAATGCCTGAGAAACACATAATATTGCCCCTTTAAACTGAGGATCAGAATGAGGAGGAACAAATTGAAGTGTAGCCTGGTTGTTGGTGCCAGAATACAGTGAAGTCCTGCAAAGATGTGTAAGGTTGCAGACTCAGTCTTTGCAGATTTTTTCTTAGAACCTAACTAGTAGTAGTCTGTAGTAATCCTCGTAATATCGCGGCAACCGGAAATACAGTAAAGTATGGAAAGCCAATTTTTTTCCTATCATGCTTTTTTGTGATATTTCAAGCAAAATTGTTAAGTAAAACATAACTGAGTAATTTTGACAAAACAGTCTAGTTAATGTCAGAGGTCATACTGGTTTGGAATGACAGAAAGGCAACAGTAGCGCAAAGAACCACTCGTTACAAACATAGTTCTGCAGAAACATCTGTGAACCCAACGGGTCCAAACTTGAAGCAGATGGACTACAGCGGCAGAAGACCACACCAGGTAACGCTCCTGCATGTTAATGCCTGGTTCACACGGCAAGATTTTTAACTTTTCGGCTGATTTTCAAATACTGAGACCCCACACATGATGACTAAAAAAAGAAAAAAAAAGATATTACAGGTTTGGTCCTACAGTGTGTGGTGTACGCACCTAACACCAACAGATTTCACTCACCAACATACGTCAGACGGGAAATCTCGTGAGACTCATTGTTCAGAGTAAATAAACCTGGCTGACGAGGAGGAAGCTAAGGTGCTAGTTTATGGACTATTTTTAACAGAGAAATAATCAACACTTTCTGTTTCACCATGGCAGTTGTTTTATCCCCTATATTTTAAATTCCTCTCCGTGTTTCCGTCACCTCGCTTTCTGATAGGCTGCACGTCACAGTCAGCAGGCCGTGAGCTCGTTTGTTCACGAGGAACACCATCGCACACCGGGATATCAGACCAAAACAATCCAACATGTTGAATATCCCTGATTTGACGTTGGAGTGGTCCTGATATCCTTCTGAGCTGACTAGATCACTCTTAACTCACCACGAGTGTCAAGAATATCTCCTGAGATTATCTTTAGAGCCATCACAATAATTGAGCGTCCTGAAAATTGTCAGAAAGGGAACATCAGGTCAAAAATCGGCGTAATTATCTTGCTGTGTGAACCAGGCATAAGAACGTAAGCTACAGATCACACAAACTCCCCAAAACTCAACAGTAAGAAATCGGAAAAACATTGTTTGGTCTGATGACTCTGGATTCTCTGGACTCTGGGGGGTCTCCACAGACACCAGATCTCAGTCTTGCAGCAGCTTTAGGATGTGGAACAGGAGCTTCACATCATGAATGTTCAGCTGGCAAGTCTGCAGCAACAGCGTGATGCTAACATGCTAACATGGACCAGAACCTCTGAGGAATCTTTCTAACACCTTGAAGAATGAAGGTGTTTCTGAGGGCGGTTGTTTCCCCACCTGGCACTGTGTACCAGATAAAGTGGCCAGTAACTGTAATTTGATTATATTAGAGAGGAATTGAAAATAAATCACACATTAAAATAAGCTAATAAAAAGTTGAGATGAATATAAATCATATGGTTCTCTTATAGGCTCTACAGTTAGCAGGGTGTTTACAAGATCGTCATCCAACATGAAGAGGGCCGCAAGGACTGCAGAGCACTGATCTGAACAAAGTACCCTCTCTCTCTGATTTCAAACTCCAGAGTTTCTTGTCAATCAGTCTGGGCCTTTGATTTCTTGTGGCGCTTTTAAAGATTGTTTTTTTCCCTCCTATGAGACAGCAAAGCAGTTTCCCACAAACACCATCAGACTCCCACATACATCTGAATGACTGGAACCAATAAAAACCACAGAAAACATTTGCTCTGGATGAACACTCAGTCAACAGTTTGTTCACAACATGATGGTTCAATCAAACAGAAAATACACTATGAATAAAAAAAGTATAAAATGCTAATGGCTTATAGGATCTTCAGATGGAATGGAAAAACATCTATACAGGGATGAAAATGATCCAGTTTGAGAATTTCTGGTTGTAACTTTTTTTTCTGGAATATTCTGTACAATAATGTACAACAGTGGAGGCCTTGGATCTCCTTACTGCTCTCCTGTCACACGTGACAGGATGAAGCGCAGGCAGTAAAATTCTACGTTAACTCATGTCTGATAACCATGAGCCCATTCCTGCGAGACACAAGGTTTTGTCCATTCCTTGTGAACAGGTCCATTAAAAACCTCCCTGAGATCTTTGCTTGATCTCAACCATCTGGTTTCTCCTCTGATTAAACCACACTGGGCAAGAAAAGGATTGTGTCTGAACACTGGCGTCCACCTTTAGGTCCAAACTCAAAGCTACACACACTTTGTCCTTTATTGTCTCCATGTAAATCCTTTGTAGTTTTTGTCAACGGTCCGGTTCTGTATCTGCTCCAAGACAATAAAACAAGCACGAGTTAGACTTTTTTTTTCTTCAATAATATTTCTTAAGTTCTTGAGTTTTTTCCTTGTATTTTTAAGATATCAGATCATTAAAACACCCATTTAAACACACACACATAAAAATAAAACTGTAACCAGGATAGAGTGGAGGTGATCAGATAGATGAGCACATGGAACAGTTTGGTTCAGTTTTTTTTTTTGTCCATTGGTGGGTTCAGTCGGTCGTCTCATTGCTGCTGGCTTTAGCAGACGGTACCATTTTCTTGCCGGGATTTGGGGCAGGTGGACCTGGGGACTGGTTGGACAGAGGGAGCCAGGGTGCAAAAGAAGCCAGCGATGAGGGTGAGGCCGAGGCCCCCCCAGGCACAAAACATGGACCAGCCGTAGCCATGGCCGATGTCATCCGGCAGGCCATACAGGTACCGTGGGTAACGGGAAAGCTCAAAGTTAATGCCAGCAACACAGGTGCAGAGGGAGATGATGCAGAAGGTCCCTGCGAACAAAAACAGAAAGACTAGTTTTTAAATAAAGTAGGAACTTTCCTAATCACTAGTACAATCAGCCTGATTATGACAAAACATGGAAGGACTATCTGGATTATCAGCACAAGGTTCAAAAGTCAGCCTCTCGGATGGTATGAGGGTGCATTAGTGCCCATGGAATGGGTAACTGTCACATCTGTGCAGGCACCATTAGCTGTGTTTCCATTGCACATGTGCGCAAAACTTTGTCGATAGTCAGTTAATGTCGAAAAACACAGTTTCGCAACTGTGGTGTTTCCATTAAGTAAGAAATGCTATTAAAGTCACGCGTGAATACGTTTGTTCTCGCGGTAAGTCCTTACAAACATGGCGGCGATGGATGTAAACACATAGCATTTTGCTACCACGACACTAACGCTCATCATCAGAGGAGACGTTGGCGTCTTTTGTCGAGGCTTTTCCAGCGACAAGTCCCTACTTGGGAGCAGCTATGTGTGCTGTGTTTTTGGGAAATTGTAGTCGGTGAGTTTACTATTTTATACTACTTCTGTGATATTACTACTATTTCTACTTCCTGATATCTTCGTTGTCGTCTTTTTTGCCAGTAGAAACAGTGTTGATCACGGGACTCCCGTGATGCGAAAAAAGTGTTTCCATTGCAGTTTTGCGAAAAACACCAATTTTGATATGGCTGAAAAACCACCTCATCCTAGCACAAAAACATATTGTCGAAAAACGTAAGTTTTTTCGAAATTGACGTGTTTCCATTGAGCAAATTTATTTTCGAAATTCCAATTTGCACATTTTCATGGTCAATGGAAACACAGCTAGTGATGCTGAAAGCTACATTCAGGTTTTGGAGCAACATATGCGGCCATCCATGATACGTCTTTTTCAGAGACGTCCTGCTGATTTCAGCAAGACAATGAAGACACATTTTGCACGCGTTCCAACAGCGTGGCTTCGTAGTAGAGTGCAGGTTCTAGATTAGCCTGCCTGCATTCTAGACCCGTCTCCCATTGAAAATGTGTGGAGCATTATGAAGAGACCCTGGACTGCTGAGCAACTGAAGCTGTTCATCAAGCAAGAATGAAAGAATTCACTTACAAAGCTTCAACAATCAGTGTCATCAGTTCACAAACACTTATTGAGTGTTGTTAAAAGGAAAACTAATGCAACACAGTGATGCCTGGGTTCTATTTCATCCCTACTGACCGCCAGAGGGTGGTGCTAAAAGCACTGAATGTTCCCTTCGCGCATGCGCCGTTCGAGCTGTAATACCAACAGAGTCACACCTGTGACCAATCGGATGACTAATCGAGGCTATATAGCTTGACGTCATCCAAAGCTCTGTTCCTCTTTTCTTCTCGCATACGGTTCATTTCTCTTGTGGAATATTTCGCCGTCGTTTGGACGTCCCGATTGCCAGTTGGCTGGAGTAGCGGTGCATCGCCCTCCAAGGGGCTGCGATGGACTTGTCTCCAAAACAAAGAGGTATCCGCTGTTTTGTTGGGGTGACGGCATTTTTTGCCTGGTTCCCCAACTTGCAGCGCTTCTTTTTCTTATCGCTGTTTGCTACACCGGAGCTACGGTGTTGGCCTTGCTAAGTTTGATGAGTGAATTTGTTGGTGAATGGCAGCGTTCTCGTCCCCTCTCCCAACTTATTCAGCTTGAGTTTTGATTAGTTGAGCTAACGGTGTTAGCCTTCTTAAGTTATTGTGTGAATTGATTGGTGAAGGCAGTGTTTTCGCCTCAGCTCCCAACTTATTCAGCTTGTGTTTTGCTTCATTGAGCTAACGGGGTTAGCCTTTCTAAGTTGATGTGAATTTCTTGGTGAAGGCAGCGTTTTCGCCCCCGCTCCCAACTTATTCAGCCTCAGTTCTTGTTACTTGAGCTAACGGGGTTAGCCTTTTAGAGTTGGTGCGTGAATTGGTTGGTGACGACAACGTTTTCGTCCCCTCTCCCAACTTATTCAGCCTCGAGGCTTGTTGCTGAGCTAACAGTGTTAGCCTTTATTTATTTTATGAGCATAGATGGCTCCCACTGTTGTGCGAGTTGTGGAGCTGGGCTTGAGGCAGAGGATGGCCATAATCTGTGCCCTGCTTGCCTCGGACATGACCACCTGGTGGAGGCCCTGTCCGAGAACCCTTGCATGAATTACAGTTATATGCCCCGCGCAGAGAGAGTGGCTCGGCTGGCTCAATTGGACCCTGAGCATGATGCTAGTCTTACCCCTTCTGGTCAGGTGGCCACGCTTAGGCGCTCTAAGCGCAGGACTGCCACAGTCGCTGTCACCCCTTCTAAAAAGAGGTGGGTCAAACCTGATCAGGGCCTTTCCAGGCAGGTTGCACAGCTGTCTGCAGAGTTGGCAGAAATGAAATCTCTTTTTCAGACACGCCAGCTGGGTGGACCAACAGGGTCRCCAACCATGCCTGAGTTGACTAGGGAGGAGGACGTGCTGTCTTTGGCAGCCTCTGCCTCTCCCTTTAGAAGTGAGGAGGGGGCACAGTCGTCCCACGCTTCAGAGATGGGCTCACGCTCCTTGTCTCAGGGTGCTTCTAGTGTGTCAGGTGATGGCTCTATGCAGGATATAATGCGTCTGGCTCTAAATCAGTTACAGCTAGATGTTCCGAAGGTGGAGGAGTCCACCCCTGCAAGTGCCTTTTTCAGAAGAGGGCGGGCCCCCACTCCCTTTTTGGTTCCTCCATCAGAGGAGTACCTGAGAGAGTTGCATGCCTGTTGGCAGGACCCTAGGGCCTTTTCGCGCCTCAACACAAATGGTCGGGTGTTGGCGGCTATGCATGACATGGTCAAGGAAGGCTTGGATCAAATGCCTTCGGTTGAACCTGTAGTTGCCTCGCTCATTGTGCCACCGGATGAGGCTCTGCGTCATGATGTTCGGTGCCCGCGGCCCCAATTTCGCATTACAGATGACTTCATCTGTAAGGCTTGTAATTCAGGAGCACGTGCTGACCGCCTTGGCAACTCTCTGGCACACCTCATGTTTGCCCTTTCCGCATCCCTTCAGGATGCTAATGGGCAAACACCGCCACCGGCTTTAGTGATGCAGCCCTTTAGGCCTTTGCACTTATGACAAGGGAGTTTGGACGTGTGATGACCTACCTGGTTCAGGCTCACAGACAGGTCTGGCTGGCTCAGTCCATGTTTACTGAGACATGCAGTAGGACCCTCCATAATGTTCCTGTGGTGCCAGGGGAGTTGTTTGGTTCTGCGGCAGTGGAAGCCCTGGAACGTGCTGTCCAGGCGCAACAGACTAGGCAGCAGCTTTCAGGCCTTAACAGGAGTGTGCCTCCATCTCCTCATAACCTGAGGCGTCCATCAGCTGGCCCCAACCCTCGGCCACCACCTCAGGGTTTCGATCGACCTGTAGGTCCTTATCCTCGTGCTGRGCAACGGAGACCCAGCAGGGACTTTCGTGAGCCAGCTCCCCAGCCAACCAGACGGGCCCAGGCCCCAGCTTTTGGTCGTTACCCCCCCAGGCCCCCTAGGGGCCATGGGGAGAGGAAGTGATGCCACCAGGCCGGCCGTCGGATACTTTTCTCATCAGCAGCTCAGTTGTTGGGCTGCTCAAACCGTGGACCCATGGGTGGTTGCCACTCTGACCCATGGTTACCGGTTACAGTTCCGATGGTGGCCTCACATATCACACCGGGTAAGAGAGACTGTCATCGCCGACCCAGTGAAAGCTCATGCCTTGGACCAGGAGCTTTCCACCCTCCTGGCCAAGGGTGCGATCGAGGCGGTGGATCCTCTGCAGCAACCCAGAGGTTTTTATTCAACATATTTTCTTGTGCCGAAGAAGACAGGCGGATTTCGTCCCATTCTGGACCTCAGGGGTCTCAATCAGTATTTAAAGGCCCTGCCCTTTCATGCTCACCATAGCAGAGGTCCTGCAGTCTATTGCAAGGGGAGAGTGGTTCGCATCAGTATACCTGACAGATGCGTACTTCCATGTACCCATTGCGCCAGAACATCGCCGCTTTCTCAGATTTGCATATCGGGGTCACCACTGGCAGTTCCAGGTTCTCCCATTCGGCCTCTCGCTTTCCCCGAGGGTCTTCACTTGGTGACTGAAGGCAGCTCTCTCCCCTCTGCAGGCTTGTGGAGTGAAGGTTCTCCCATAACTTGATGATTGGCTTCTCTGCACCCCATCTTGAGCTTGTGTGTCTCGCAATACAAGTCGCCTGCTTACCCACGTGTCCCAGTTAGGCCTCAAGGTCAACTTAGCAAAGAGCTGCCTGATTCCATCGCAGGCAACAACTTTTCTTGGGGTGTTCTTGGACTCACCCTCCATGACAGCCTACCCGTCTGTTCAGACGGTGGACGATGTTCTCCGGCACATCAGTCAATTCAGGCTGGGCAGGCGGCTTCCTTAAATTACCTTCCTGCAGCTGCTAGGCAAACTGACATCACTCACCCAGGTCGTGCCCTTAGGTCTGCTGTCACTGCGCCCATTTCAAATGTGGCTCAATGGTTTTCATCTGGATGCRAGGCTTCACATGCATCGCAAAATTGTGGTGACGAGATCTTGTCTGCGTACCCTGGACCCATGGAGGGACAGAGCTTATTTGTCCAAAGGTGTCCCTACAGGGATGGTTGTGTGTCGCAGGGAGTTGGTCACAACAGACGCCAGCTCCATGGGATGGGGGGCTGTGTGGCAGCACAGAGCGGTTCGGGGCTGCTGGAGCCACCAGGATCGTTCCAGACACATAAATGTGCTAGAGCTACGTGCTGTGTTTCTAGCTCTCAGGCACTTCTTGCCCCACCTGGAGGGGAAACATGTCTTGGTTCGATCGGACAACACCTCTGTGGTCTACCACATCAACCATCAGGGTGGCACCAGGTCGGCACAGCTCCTGAAGGTGGCCAGGGATCTCCTGAGATGGGCCTCCCCTCGCCTGTTCACTCTGCGGGCAGTGTACATACCAGGGCAGGACAACCGGGCCGCAGCTAAAAGGGTCAGCGAGCTGCATGCTCTCTCTGCCAACCC